GAGTCACATTAATCATCTTAATTGAAACATGTTCTTCACCTGTGTGAGAGAGCAACAGACTGAGGGAAGGAATAAGCCCCTGTTTGCGTGTTTTGTTTTGTTTAATTAACCATCTTTGGTTATAACGCACAATTTATCTAGACATTGACATGACAGCTGCCACATCCCCAGGACATAAGCTGAAAGCCCCATGTGTCAATTTGCAGGGAAAACTTTTGAAAGTCATGACCAAGTTCTACATAAGGTGGCTGATTTTCCAATATCCTTCCAACATGGCAGGAGACTCAAGTCACACAGTTCAAAAGCTTATTGTTTCTGGTCAGGAAATCCATGTTTTCTCAAAAAAGTATAAATGCACAGTTCAGGATATTCTCTTCTCCTCTTTCTAAAAGAGAAGATGGCACTGAGCTGATCTCAGCAGGGGCGCCAGCAGCAGCAGCAGCAGCAGCCAGGGGGGTAACATGCTCTGCAAGGCCTCTTTCTTATTCTCCATTTGCAAAATGCTTTCTTTGATTGCCTCTGACAATGGGAGGTGGGGACAAGCCACATAAAGTCATTTCACCCATCACTAACCCAACACACCTGCACGTTACCCTGCAGCTCTATCACACTCCTCCCAGGCTTCCGGGCAACAGATATTTTTTTGAAAGACTTGTAAAGCACTGATTTGGAGTACATAATAACTTAATATTAATTTAAGCAACTAATATTTAGAGCCTTAAAAAAGAGCTTAATTTATGAAAAATCTATCTCCATTTTCCTAGAAAATGTCTCACAGTGACAGCAACGTATCCCATGAGCAAAAATAAGGTTGTTGCAAGAAAGAATTTAATTAAGATGAGTTGGGCATGCCATAAGCAGTATATAGCTGAAGAAGCATTGGTGAAGTACTTAACACACCGAAGTGGGGAAGACACAATATTAAAATGACCAATAAATTACCCGACAAATCTACTTAGCTCTACATTTGTCCTGCACTGCCAAACAAAACACTGCCTTGAAATGGAACCGTCCGAGATTTTTCACAGCAAATCAATTTATACCGAAGAAGGAAAATGCTTATGCAACTTCTGAGCTGCAGTTTGCAATGAGATACACTTGGTAGAAAGGAGCATTTTCCCCTTCTCCATTTCTTCAGAGACAGAAAGGGAATTAATCAGCGACACTTAACTACCCCTTCAACAGGAGTTCGGCAGCACCCCCAGAAATACTTCATTTCTTTCAACATTTCTGCACAACAGACAGCCGCCAACTTTTACTAATCCCGTTTATTACTGCAGACCGTGAAAAATGATGTTAAATCACAAGACGGATGACAATGTAATAAATTAGAGAAACTGTAGCTGTTATTTTGGAATCTTACCGTCCCAGTCTGGTTCACGTCTCCATTTCTTGATGTAATATGATTTGAGTATAATTATTAGCAATTATTTTCAAAGCATTCATAAGTTTTTCCCCCACTGTGAATGCAAGATTCAGCTTTATATCCCCTTTTTAATCTTAATTCACGGGTGTCATGCATCACCCACAAAAGAAGGGCATGGTGATTCCAAAACGTCTGTTTTGACAGATGGTTCTTTCCTACTTTTTAATATTATAAATATTTAATTCATGGCTCAGCAATGGATGATAAAACCTCAGCTCTGTGATCATCCAGTTAAGTGAAATCCCCTCTACTCCTCCTCAAAAGACAGTCACCAGTCTTGCCGTGATAGCAAACAAGGGTCAAAATATAACACCTGCACTCCTATGGCATCCTTCAGGTCGAAGTCATAAGAAAACCACCATTAATTTATTTTCTGCCACCTTTACTTTTAAATGCAAATTTCCAGGGAAGCTCACCACAATACATTTAATTGTCTATATCATATGATTATAACAAAACAATTCGGCCATGGCACTATGGCATCATCTCAGTCCATGTCACCTTATCTCACGCTATATATTAATCTAAAATGCAATCGGGAAAATGACAAGAATGTCTCATAATGGAACACCCAGTGAATGGCTGATTCGCCTTTCATTGTCTGTGGGCCTGAACGCGCCGTGGACTTCCTGAGAACAAATGAGACCTCAGAGGCGACATGTTTTCATTTTATCACATTTATTTAAGATGACCGAGGACAGTGCCCAATATTTATCCACCACATTCAACATTTGCCATCATCAGAATAAAAGGAGAGCCAGCACAGTTTGAACAACATCTGGTAATTCCAAAGAGATAGTGTCACTTGAAGAACAAATGAACCTTTAGTTAATAAAATCTCCCCCTGACTGACAAAGATGGCTTTTTGTACACATGCAGGATCCGTGATAAGTAGATATAGAGGCGTTGATAAAGAACACCCAATTCCTACAGCGGGAAGTCAATGCCGCCCACGTTGAAATAAAGACAGGGTTTATTACTGGTCTTTTATGAATCATGGTAAATTAAATGTCCTGAGTTCTGGAGGGATAAAAGATTTAAATTATAATTCTGAAGGCCAGGGGAGTTTCACTAGTCTCAAAACACTCTAGTGCCTCGAAGTAAGACTAATATTACCAAGGACAAAAAAAATGTAGTTTGTTCCAGTAAAGAACCCCTTTCATCCAGTAATGCCTGAATTAACAGAGTTACTCCTCCTATATTCCGAATGCCTGTGACCCCAATCCCTTATGGAGCCAATATTTAATGAATTGACTAATAACCAGACACTGTGCTAGCCACATGCAATTAATAGTGAGAAAATGTCTAGAATGGGCAAGTCTGTCTAAATGTCAATGCAACTACATGCAAGTGCCTACCTCAATAAACACAGACAAACATACAATGGATGGAATGGTGTCTTTTAATACATGAAGAACTAGACTTTTGACTACTGTACAGTCAAAAGCCACATTTCATCAAGCTTTCTCATGACCATACTCCCGGAATTGATGGATTTTATAATTACTGATTATGCCCAATGGATAGGATTTGGGTAAAAGGAAATTAACTAAAGAGAAGGCCTTTGTATACTTTGATCTCACCTGATATGGAATGCAGGGAACATTCTCTAGTCTAGGACTTCCAAATCTGGAAACTGTAATTCTCAGCAAACTGACACAAGAACAGAAAATCAAACACCACATGCTCTCACTCATAGGTGGGTGTTGAACAACAAGAACACATGGACGTAGGGAGCGGAGCATCACACACTTGGGTCTGTTGGGGGTGCCAAAGGAGGGACAGCGGGTCGGGGGGAGGTCGGGGAAGGATAACATGGGGAGAAATGCCACATGTAGGTGGTGGGGGGATGGAGGCAGCAAACCACAGTGCCATGTGTGTACCTATGCAACAATCCTGCATGAGCTGCACATGTACCCCAGAAACTAAAGTACAATAAAAAAAAGAGTCTTTGTGATAGAAAAGCAGACACAACTGGACATAAAATGTATGAGACACGAGAACAGGGGCACCCACTTATCCTCCTGCCCTGTGTTTCCATGTGCAAGAATTTTTCTAGCATAATATTCTGGGCCTCTCCTGAGCTTCTCATTCCTCCATGCACAAGAAGGAACAGTTTATCAAATCGGTGACCTTGGGAAAAGAACCTGGACATACTCAGGCTAGTCCCTTAGTCCTATGTCAAATTCTCCAGTTAGCAGAAAATGCACAACTCCTGAGCGAGTGTGTGTGTGTGTGTGAGGACTGGAGGCCAGGGGATTACCTGAAGGTTTCCACAGTGTCAGTGACTGACGGGCAAGTCGGCACAAATCAGGAGAGCATAAGCAAGCCCACTTGGCCGTATCTTTAAATTTGGGTTTATTTGATTAATACACAGATGCCTTTTTGTTTTGATTTGTTTTTAAGTTTTATTGAGATAGAGTTCAAAAGCCATAAAATTCACCAATTCAAGGTATACAACTAAGTACCTTTTTAGTATATTCACACAGTGGTGCCATTATCACCACAATTTAATTTTAGAACATTTTTTATTATCCCAGGAGAAAACCCTGGTACACATCTGCAGTTCACTCTCCATCCCTAGGCGGTGACTAATCTACTTCGCATCTATATAGATTTGCCTATTCCGAACACCTCAGGGGGATGGGATCAGAACATTAAAAACATTAGGCTAAATGAAAGAAGACTGTTTACTTCCTTTTGCCTTCCTGCCCAGCTTCTTTCTCAGTTGGTTCTTACTCAGTAGGGAAATAATGGGTTACTATTTCTTAATCCCCTAGAGCTACCACGTATCTAAAATGGTTTCTTGTGCCCAATTTTGCCAATTTCTAATTACTTAACACTTTGGTATTTTCATTTCGTATGGATATTAAACTGTTATGTTAAGGTCGGCACTTATTTAACCATTCATTCATTCATGCATACTTTTGAAACACATTTATTCATCCCTAATATGCCTGCCAGACCCTGGGGTTTTCAAAATGAATAAACCCTGGTACCTGCTCTCTGGGAACTCACACTTAATTGTGGGGAATGATTTAGGTACAAAGTTGGGCAAAACATAAAAAACTGACTCACTGGAGTATAAGTCCAATGACTCTTCTTCATGCTCAAATTCATTACAGGATGTGGGACCATCCATGGTTGCTGTCTCCGTGAAATTCCTCCTACCCTTTAGGAAACTGTCCCTGCCCGGTTCACCTGCCACTTCTCCTATCACTTTTTGCTGTCCTTCTCTCCTCCATTCTTCCAACCATTCATAAAAGTGGCCCTTCCTTAAAACAAATCCACTTTTCTTACTTTTCTATCATCCTGTCCTTGGAGACATCATTCATTCCCACTGTGTCTACTCTCACCCCCATGGCAACTTAAGAGTAGCACAAAGATGAGTAAAATGTGATTAGACAGACTTAGTGACACATGGGATGTTGGAATGGTAGGTGCATGTACTTGTGTGGACTGCTGTCGCTGGCATCAATTTCCACTAAGTATTTCCATGTTTCCCTCGCCAATTATTGATTAGCTAACTTATCTCCAAAAAAGCATTCTCCTTCCTATCAATCCTTGATAAACATTCACTCAATAGTCCCATAAACTCCACACATTATCCCCAGCATTTGCTGCCTACGTCTGCACTTCATGATCTTTATTTCAACCCAAAAGCTGCTGTCTGCTCTAAATCGGTGGTGACTTCATGGAAACTGCTGATTTATAGTGATGACCCTTCTTGCCTATTCACATTTCAAATCCATAGAGTGAGAAGAGACCCAGAAATATTTATTCAGACAGATAAAATCCTCCCTATTTAACAGAAGTGACTTCCATGGGCAGTGGGCACATCCTGTTACCTAGGGACATTTCCACGGGATTACGCAATGAGACTCTGGCTGTAACTGGAAGTTGCTGCCACTCAAGTGTCAAAACAAATAACAATAAAAACCAACCCTCCGAGAACTCGCAGGGGGTAGCTTATGCTTCTTCTTTAGATAAATACATTTTTAAAAAATTAGAAATGATTGTAACATAGATACCAGGAATATATGTAATCTAATAAGATACAATATATTTTATATTATGTATAACACATAATATACTACCAGACATACTCTATACTATATATTTATAATATATATCTTACACATAATACATTGATACATGCTACGTAGAGTTGTATGTGTATACATCTACATGTACATGATCTATATAATTTTTGGCATAAAATGTATACACATATGTATGTGTATATATCACATAATTACATATTTCTGCAACAAAAGGAATATAAAAATTGTGTTTATTTTTTCTCTTTCCAAGGACTTCAAAATTCAGAAGGGAAAAGAAAGATGAATCAAACCTCCTCAAGAATTCTTATTTACCATTGTCATCAATGCATACAACACTGGGATAATGGCTAATATTTATTCAGCAATTAGCATACCCCAGGTAAACATCTGAATACTTTGCAGCTAGTATCCCCTTCAGTCTTCACTACAAATCCATGAACTGGGCATTATTATTCCATTTTGTAGATGACATTACTGAGTTTCAACAACTAGAGAGACTAGCTCAAGGTCTCACAGCAATTCCACCCTGAGTCTGTCAGACCCCAAAACTGGGCTCTGATTCACTAGTCTGATTGGTTCCCTGATATTATTCTCTCTCTTTTTTAAAGACAAAGGGCTGCCCTCCTTCAAATACTTTAATTATTACTTCATTCACTTGTCTAATTCAACTTAAAGTAGAACTTTCAAAGGTATGGCTATTTACTAGGTATGTTCCAACTTTTAAATATGTGGGCACAACTTAGCCACATATAGGAACATTATCATCCCAGCAAGAAGCAGCGAGTCATAGAGTGATTTCTACATAATCTGTTACCAAGCAAAGGTGGAAGCCATGAAAATTCATCCTTTCCTCTCTTGCTGAACTGATGGATGTTCTGAATTGACTGGTAATAGGATATGACTGGAAGATGAGAGGCAAATCCTTCTGAAATCCAAATGACTCTCAGAAATTTAAAGAGTAGACTGGATCCTGAAGGACACTGAGCTGAAGGCTTTTCCCACCCTGAAATAACCAATGCATTGAGAGGGAAGAACCATCTTGGCAGAATATGAAATGTAACTCGTGTGATAATCACAGTAGCTTTGACATCCTGGTTGGAAAAGGACCATCTCAGCTGTCCACAACTGCTGTCTTATTATCAATCACCAAAATTAGATACATTATTCATTTTGACTCTAATCTATGAATGGTCTTATCTGTAGCTATATTAGCTATGTATTCCCAGGCAAACGTTTACAGAATTCCACATTTTAAGTGTACTTAACACCAAGCACCTCCTCTTCAGATCAATTATGTCATAATTTACATTTTAAATATTATCATTTGATGAATGTGTGTGCTACCAGCCTGCAGGCTTCATCAGCCAACAGCTACAAGGAACAGCTATCATTTGCTAAATGGTTACTTGTGCTAGGCAACGTAAAATCATTTAGTCTTCACAACAGCTCTGTGAAGTAGCTGTTTATTCCCATTTTACAGGGAGGAAGGTTTAGGCACAGAGCTGTTAAGTAACTAGCCGGAGATGCCACTGGTAGTAAGAGGCAGCCCCCAACTGGACCATCCCAGCAGCAAAGCTCCAACCATGAGGGCAGCGGTCACATATATATGAACTGATTACACATGCCCAACACTTAACAGATGCTACATAACATTTGTAGCATTAATGAGAAACTGCTTATCCTGAGTTGGGCTAGCTCTGTATAGATGTACAGAGAAGCCCCTTGCTTTGTGTTAATCTCAGAGAGTTGAGCTCTGTAACCCAAAACTTGGAGGCATTATCACGTAAAATGGGTCCAGGTGTGGGCAGAATTCCTAGAGCCCCCAAGAGAAACAAAATCCATCTCTGCCTCTGCAAACCACCCTTGCTGACTCTACATCTGTGTATTTCATGTAGTTACAGCTGTATTCAATTCATTCCTACCTTACTCCATAGGTGATGAGACAGTTCTCCTGAGCTCCTCCAAACCATTAATGTCCACACTCATACTCCCATAGGGAACACAGCCAGCCCCAAAGGATAACCTGAGTCACCCAGGTATTCACTCCTTCCTTTAGTCTTGTCTGGGAAGAACTCACCAGAATTAAATATTTAGTGCCAGGCATTGTTCTAATGAATGTAAAGTGCTGAAGAAAGAATCACAGAACAGTACTCTGTTTCTCAAGAAAGGCATGAATTCTTAGAAACTAAAATTCAAGTAGGTACATTCTAAGTGTTGTAAGAAGAAAAACAATTTCAATTGGGATGCAGAATAATACACTGATTTTGGCTCCTGCTGGAAAAAGCTCAGGAAGAAGCAAAGAATTAGAACTGTACAGCGAAGGACAGGCACAGTGGCTCATGCCTGTCAATTCCAGAACTTTGGGAGGCTGAAGCAGGTGGATCACTTGACGTCAGGAGTTCAAGGCCAGCCTGGGCAACATGATGAAATCCCATCTCTACTGAAAACACAAAAATTAGCTGGGCGTGGTGGCAGGTGCCTATAATCCCAGCACTTTGGGAGCCTAGATGGGCAGGTTGCTTGAGGCCACGAGTTGGAGACCAGCATAGCCAACACAGTGAAACCTTGCCTCTACTGAAAACACAAAGATTAGCCAGGCCTAGTGCCATACACCTGTAGTCCCAGCTATTTGGGAAGCTGAGGCAAGATAATTTTTGAACCCAGGAGGCAGAGGTTGCAGGAACCGAGATGATGCTACTGCACTGCAGCCTGGGTGACAGAGCGAGACTCTGTCCCCGTCACCCAAAAAGAGAAGTGTACCATGGAGAACAGTGAGGGGTGGGGAGATGGAGAGGGACTCCGAGAAGAATGAAAAGAAAAATGTTTCAGCTGGAGGCACAAGTGAACAGTGTTTTAGATTTAGTCACGAAGTATGGAATGGTGTCCACTTCTCGGTGGATTTGAAACTGTCACCCCTCTTAGACAATGCTGAAAACATGTCACAAAATCCACTGCAAAAGCAAAACCAGCCAAGGAAGGCATTTGTGAACTGGGAGCAGAGCAAACTGAGCTGCACAGTGGTTAAACTATGCAAGGGTCTATGAGAAGGTCTGTCTACTAGTGTGTGCTTGTGTTTTCTTTTGTTTTCGGATTCATCTAAAATCTTTTGCAGGTATTGATCGGCTTATGACCTATGCAATTTACGACCATTCGACTTTACGACCACAAATGCTAGCCACGACTGCTCCGCGTCTGGCAGCGCAAATGTTGCCCAGCTGGGAGTACAACAGTGCGGACCAGCTTCCGGCAGCACTACCATCTCCGCGTGCATATAGCCTACTCAACTTATGACCAAATCGTGTTATGACTGGTCTGTCAGAACCAATCGTGGTCGTACGTCGAGCACTAGCTGTACTTTGGAGAACCACCCTTGCTGACTCTGCATCTGTGTATTTCATGTAGTGAGAGCTGTATCCCCTTCATTCCTACCTTACCCCATAGGTGATGAGGTTCAAGACCAGCCACTCAGAAAACTCCAGCCTTATCATCTAGGGATTTGCTGAGAAGTATGCACAGGACTGAAATTAGCCAATCAGAGCCTTCCCTAGAATTTTTGGCAGTATCCCCAAGAGGATACCAACTTCTTATTCTTCTTTTTTCTTCTGGACACAGAGTCTTGCTCTGTTGCCCAGGCTTGAGTGCAGTGGCATGATCTCAGCTCACTGCAAACTTCACCTCCTAGGTTCAAGTGAATCTCCTGCCTCAGCCTTCTCACTAAATGGGATTACAGGCATCATCACCATGCCTAGCTCATTGTTGTACTTTTAGTGGAGACAGGGTTTCACCATGTTGGCCAGGCTAGTCTTGAACTCCTGACCTCAAGTGATCTGCCCACCTAGGGCTCCCAAAGTGATGGATTACGGGCGTGAGACACTGCGCGCAGCCAAAGATACTAACTTCTCAGAGACTATGTGTGTAAGAAATTTTACTGGTGTCTGGTACCAAGAGAGGAGGCATATCTGGTAGAATCACAGTTCTTGTGACATCGTGAAATCTTCTGACTCAGTTGCACCTGAAGTCTACCCTTTGTGCTTCCTGGTTCTATAATCAAATTCTTTTTTTTTTTTCTTAAGCTTATTTGAAACTTTATGTTTTATTTTTATCTTTCTCATCTTTGTGGCTACCTGGAGAGCTTATTTGAAACTTATTTTTTTTTAACTTGGAACTAAAGGAATTTGGATGAAATCAGTGTGTAAAAATCCTTGTAAGTTCATACATTCTGATACTATGCTAGCTGCAGCTTCCTCTCTCATAACAAAACCTAGAAAGTTCAAAGGGACACTATATACCCCCAAAATTTGGTATTGAGACCCCTGCCTTTGGAATTCTCATTTCTGTTCTTTTAAGCACCACACTATTTTCTAAGCTGCCAAAATTATTCAAATGATCTCGGACACCATAGCTTGTGTGACAGTTGCTGATATCAAGCAAAACAAAACCAAAATTTACAAGACTGATGGAGATTATAAAGGATTGCAATATCCAAGACTCACAATATTCAAGGCGTGTCAGTAAAGTGAC